TCATTTTTTTGTAGGTGAACTGCTTGTCATTTAACCCATACAGCGAGTTCATTCTTGCAACAGGATCTGCAGACAAGGTGAAGAATATTTGTTTTAAATATTTATGCTAGAGAATACAAGTTCTACGAAAAAATGTAGCTTGAAGTAATTATTGCAGTTGCATTGTTAACAAGCAATGCATGCCTTTTGAGGCATCAACACGATTGTTTCCTAATGGGCTGTTCTCAAGGTAGTCTAAACACAACTTTGATCAAAGAGCATACCCAACAACAGCTTGATGTTTCAATGCTGGTTGTGTTAGTAACTGGTGAAAACTAAGAGTTCTTTGAGAGTTCTTTGTCATGTTACATTTGTAATCAGTTGATAATGTTTTGCTGAAACCAACATAGCCCTCACAAGTGCAAGAAACTATTACACAATGAAGAGTTTCCGTCTTCTCTGTCTAGTACTATGCAGTTGTGCTTTGCTGATCTGTTCACAACATAGCTGTTTATGATTGAACGATGTGTCAATGTCTTCTCTGTTTTATTTCTTCTTTTGTACTTTTTAAGACTGTTGCATTATGGGATTTAAGGAATCTCAAACTTAAACTTCATTCCTTTGAATCACACAAAGATGAAATATTCCAGGTATGTTTAGGCACATTTCTGATGTTATTGTCAATGAGTTACATTGTGTGTTTCATCCTTCGGTAGACTTAAAAATAGTGAGGGTGACAACATTTGTGTTGACTCTTCAGGGATTGTAGTAGTTAATGTTGTGGTCTCAAGATTTTGTAAAAGCAAGTTTGAACACACTACTGATCTGATTGTTTTTTGTTGTGTTCTTGGGCAAAATGTGCAGCTTTCCAGCTCAAAGGGTGATTGAAGCAGTTCTCAAAACTTATACTTCAGCTCCATGTTTCAGTAGTGGTAATGATATATTCAGGAATTATATAAATTATACAAACTCTCTCCATGAGCAGTTTGTGCTCTAAGAGGAATGTCGGATCAAAACTATTTTTTAAATTAAAAAATGCAAACATTTTTTTTGTCCATCGCAGGTTCAGTGGTCTCCACACAACGAGACAATCCTAGCTTCTAGTGGTACAGACAGAAGACTGCATGTGTGGGACTTAAGGTAGCTTTGTTACTCTAATTTAGGTCTCATAGTGATTAAATAGAAAAGTGAAGAAATAGATTATTTTGTCACTACATACAGGAAATTCAACTTGAGTAGAAAACAGAGAATTTTTAATTCACCAGACACTGGAAAAGACCCTAAAGCTGGGTCAACAATGGGAAATGCATGCATAACACTGAGAACGCAACACACGCTAATCACCTGGTCACCTGGTCACCTCACCTTCACACAGTTTTTTAGTGTAGATGTGAATGATAAATAAATTTTTTGTTTGTTAGCAAAATTGGCGAGGAGCAGTCATCAGAGGATGCTGAAGATGGACCTCCAGAACTTCTGGTACACAGTGCTTTGTTTGTTGCTGTTATGGCCGTAGTTAATAACATGCGAGTTCACCGAGGCATTTGCCTTGGTAAAAGTTTTTACCAAGTTATTTAGTTATTCCAGGATCCTGTAAGGGGCTATGCAATGAAAAAAAAAAATGAACCAAATATGAAAAATGTTTTGAAAACTGATTTTGCCTTGTTGAGAATTTTTGTCTGACTATATACAGTGTAAGTTGCCATGTGGCACTAATGTTTCTAGGATGATGGATTTTTGTCCTTCCTAAATGTGTAGGGTATTTGTTTATTCTGATTTCTTAAATGTCTTTCTTTAATATTGTTTCAGTTCATTCATGGTGGCCACACAGCCAAAATTTCAGACTTCTCATGGAATCCAAATGAACCATGGGTACTCTGCAGTGTCTCCGAGGACAACATAATGCAAGTGTGGCAAATGGTAAGTGGCAATAAATCACGAGAAACAAAAACCAAACGTACATTAGCTATTTTCTTAGCCACCATTTGGGATATGTTGTAAATGGTAAATACTGATCCCTTGAAAATTTCACATTTTCGCGCTTGTTCACTAATGATATAAATTTCCTTTTTCTTCAACTTTCCTTGTCAAAGTTCTCTTTAAAAGTAGAGATATCACTTGTTCCCTGAAATTAATCACAAAAATATCCCCTGTGCCCTTGAAATAACTGATCATGTTCCCTCCTTCTCCAAAACCTCTAGGAGTGCCCTTGTTATTTACATGACTTTGTGTTGAGGACACTTTGGGTACTTTGACAGCAGCATGTTCTCAGATTTCGTCACCAATGGCAACTTTTTGTCACTCTCCTGGTTTAAAGTATTGTTACATCTGTTGTCAGTGGTACTTTTCAGCGGCATCCCTAGAGTTGAGAACGAACTCGTGTTCTTCTTAATTCATTTAAACAGCATTCCATGTGTACAGTTGACTTTTGAATCACGTCAAGTCATCTGACTGGGCGGAATGCAAAAGAAAAATGGCAGGGTATTACCTTGGTTTAAAACTCACTAGGTACTAGCGTTGTTTTCTCACCACGTTCTGTCAGACACGAACGCCCTTCCATCAGGGATGCCTGGTGAAGTGATGGCCATCATAGCATAGCTTTGTTCCTGCATTTCATCTTGATTGTATTTTTTTCCCATTCTTTCCATTATTTTAGGCTGAAAACATTTATAATGACGAAGAACTTGACACTCCAGCATCAGAGCTAGAATCAGGGGCATCGTGAAACTCCTCGTTTTTCAGGCTGGTTAATTAATATATTGTCCTGGGAGAGTCTATGAGTTTTGAACTCTGATCACAGACCTTTGTTTCATGAACATGCATCTAGCCGTGCCGTTTCTTTCATCCCGGGTTTTCAACAGTTCTCTGTAAATGTCGGTACCGCTGGTAATGTTGTAGCTACAGCTAAGGTTGTTCATTGTTGGTCACACATTGTTGTGTTCAGATTTTCGGTGTAAACTCCTTCTTCGATAACTCATGTACATGTACTTCGAAATTCAGCAACAAAGTATTTATCTGCAAGCATTTTTCTTTTTCCTCCCTGAATTTTCACCTGAGGTGTAAAAAATGCTAAGGGAGAAAAAAAGGGCCGCAAGGCCTCTGTAGTATTCTTTGTTCTCAGGCGGCAAGAAGAAAATGAGAATGGTCTGTCTACAATAGGATTCTGTTTACTGCCCTGTTTCAATTTGTTCTCTGTGGTATGGAGAATTTTGTTTTGAATCAGTACCTTCACTGTCACTATTCCTTTTGTAAGACGTTTTCCAAGTAAACAGATATTGTACAGAAGTTGTTTTCATTATTAGGTTTAACTCTTAACCAAAGGTAGTGGTTATAGAAATGGTGGTTATCATAGCAGACCTGTTAATATTTTTATGAAAAGAGTGTAGGCATACTTTAAGGTGACGGTCACTCGGCCAGAACACTGTACGATAGTTTGACTTTTAAGTAGTATGCAATTACAGCTGCAATAAAAAAAGCTTTGTAATTATATGTGTAAGAGTGATCTTTTTAGTAAAGGACAGGTGTTTTATACCGTAAACTACCAAAAGCAACGACCCTCGCTTCTTTCGGAATTAGCAGCATTTGGGGCTGGCTTCTTTCAGGGACTCGTTACTTTCGGGGAGCAGAAAACCTTATATAAGGTTGATGCGACTGTGTACTTCTTACGAAATAAAAGAGGGAAGTTCGTAAAAACAGCCCTTAAAACATGAGATGAAATTCTTCGTTCCAGTTTAAATTTATGTTGCTGTCACATGGGGTGTTCCTTGTGTCGAGACCGTATTGTTTTTCGGCAGCTGGTAGCTACTCGACTGCACCGTTAATTAGTCTGCTATATCAATATCTCGGTGCTCTGGTCAAGATTTCAATTTTAATTTAAAGGAACGCTCGCCTTCAGTTTAAATACGCCCCAGTTGAAAATGACACTTCAATTTAATGTGAAGAAAAGTTCCTGTGAGTACGTTCTTGTTCGCTTGACTATGAAAGTTTCACAGTTTTTGTTATAAAATGGCGCAACATAAACGGACGAAGCACGAAGTGACATTTCATAATACTTTGTGGCATAAGCAATTCCTTCCCTTGTTGCAGAGTGCCTTTATTATAATTACCAAATGTAGTACCATATGTAACTTTCACTACTTTTGAACTTTGGAACCTTGTTCCTGCTATTTTCGAGGGTCACTAGTTTTGGAAGTTTACGGTAGTTTCCATTGAAAACGTTAGGGAAGCGTCAGTGTAACGGAGCACTGATTTTTCAACTTACTGGGTAAATGTCATTCACTTCAACTCCTGTTTTAAAAGGTCATGAACAAGATTAAGTCATGAAACAGGCAGGGGCAAAACTCTTACCGGATCAACTCGGATCGCCGATTTTGTTTTCTTTTATCGCTGAGTCGATTTGATTCGGTCCGAGTTTTGTACTTGTCCGTTACAGACCATTGAAAGCTCGGAAAATCCAAACGGTGGTCGTTAGGGCCATTAACGAAGTCACTAGTCGCTTAAAAAGGGTTTTCAGGAGAGAGAGAACTGAGGTTTTGCTCAGGACGCGATAACGAACGTCATATCAGTAGTCGTGATATTCGGGGTTCCATTGTGTAAACGAACATCAGTCAGAATAACTGCAATGACTCCATTATTAGAAAGATCTTTTTAACAGTCGGCAGATCTTCATCCCTATGGTAACAGTACTTTCTTCTCTAATGCTATTTTTCCGATTTTGATCCTACTCTAGCTCTTTATATTGACAGAAGCTAAGATCAAACACATTCAATGTAAACGTAATGCGACGAAAATATCCAGTATTGGCAACATAATATTCAGCGCTCCAAGAAACTAGAATTCTTAGGAACGGGTTTAACAGGAAAATAAAAAAATCATGTACCGAATCACCCTAAATCTCAAATAAAAGCGATATACCAAAGAATTAAATGAATTCTCCTGAATATTTTATTAATATTCAGTTGACGGAGTTCATTTTGTCAGTCTTAGATTATTGACGCAACAATCTATTATCAAAATNTTTGTTGTTTCTCACATTTTGGATTATTTACTTGCTAGATCCTAATGGTGAATGCCGTCCTGATATCCGACTCAAGGGTCACACTAAGGAAGGCTATGGCTTGTCTTGGAATCCAAATCAGAATGGCAATCTTTTGAGTGCTTCAGATGACTATGTAAGTCACAATTGATAGGTTATGCCGCACAGTGTAACTCCATGTGCTAACTAGCTAATGTATAAGAACACTTATGATCAGTGGATTGCAACAGATTGCTACACGTCAGGTAATGGTTGGGAAAAAAACAAGGTCAGGGAAATGTCGGGGAATTCTATTTTGAGTCAGGGAAAAATTGACATTTTGAAGGAAATTCAGGGAAATTGAAATAATTTAATACAGCTGATTTAGTACCATTGAAGGCTGGAAGAAACATCAGGGGTCACTGTGTTCCCTTAATGGAGAAGGAATATTTGTTGAAGACTTAAGCCTTAATAATTTTTATGATTGTTTAGGTGAAAAGGACAACTGTAAGAGGAAGCTAGGAGGAAAATTTTATTTTTGTCAGGGAAAAGTCAGGGAATTTTGAAAAGTGATATCTGTGGCTACCATGTATAGTAATTCAGCTTGTTTCTTCAACAGACTGTGTGTCTCTGGGATATCAGCAGCATTGCAAAGGTACAAAACATAAACACTTAAGGACGTTCATGTAACATGTGCACAGTGGTTTTTTTGTGAACAAGAAGATTATGTTCAATTCTTGTTTTTTGATATTGATATTTTACATGTAACTCATTTTTGCTGACAGAAATCCTTTTCTTTGTTGAGCCAGGAAGCCAAAACACTGGATGCAGCACGGATATTCACTGGGCACACAGCAGTTGTTGAGGTATCTCAATATGTACTGTATGTCATTGTAACTGTGAAAACCAAACTGGCCGTTTCAAAGTAGTTAACCCTTTGTTTGCTTTTTTAGGATGTATCGTGGCATCTTTTACATGAGAGTTTGTTTGGATCAGTAGCTGATGACCACAAGCTTATGATGTGAGTATGAGAGAGAATAAATGGCAAGGACGCTTCTTAAGTTTTCCAGAAGACATAACATTTGCAATAAATTTAGGCTGACAAATGAGAGTTCAACAAATATCAGTGTAATCAATGAACCACCCAATTGAAAAGGAATCATTCCTTATCACAAAGGTGATTTAGCTTTAACTGGTTGATCTTAAAAGTCAACATAGGTGTAAGAGGAAACTTAACTACAGAAACAAATTTAGAAAAGCTGACATCAACGTCAAGTTGATAATCAATTAAGTGTTTTACTTACCTGCCTTTGCAGTGCAGCAGTTTCTCTAGGAGTTAATCACTTTATAGGTTTAAAAGGGTTAAAGTGCTGTTGATTTCTTTACTTTCTTTAGCTGGGACACACGTTCAACAAACAGTTCAAAGGCAACACACACAGTGGATGCCCACACTGCTGAGGTAAGTACGACGAACTGTCACATCCACATTCTGTAAACTGTGATGTGTGAAGGAAAACAGTAGTGGGCATGGTAGAAGATCAATGTTAATAAAGTTATGTCTGTAAATTTTTCTCAAGTAGTTTTGCTATTACTATAAGTTCTGATTTGTTATCGATTATTTTCATTTTTTTGTAGGTGAACTGCTTGTCATTTAACCCATACAGCGAGTTCATTCTTGCAACAGGATCTGCAGACAAGGTGAAGAATATTTGTTTTAAATATTTATGCTAGAGAATACAAGTTCTACGAAAAAATGTAGCTTGAAGTAATTATTGCAGTTGCATTGTTAACAAGCAATGCATGCCTTTTGAGGCATCAACACGATTGTTTCCTAATGGGCTGTTCTCAAGGTAGTCTAAACACAACTTTGATCAAAGAGCATACCCAACAACAGCTTGATGTTTCAATGCTGGTTGTGTTAGTAACTGGTGAAAACTAAGAGTTCTTTGAGAGTTCTTTGTCATGTTACATTTGTAATCAGTTGATAATGTTTTGCTGAAACCAACATAGCCCTCACAAGTGCAAGAAACTATTACACAATGAAGAGTTTCCGTCTTCTCTGTCTAGTACTATGCAGTTGTGCTTTGCTGATCTGTTCACAACATAGCTGTTTATGATTGAACGATGTGTCAATGTCTTCTCTGTTTTATTTCTTCTTTTGTACTTTTTAAGACTGTTGCATTATGGGATTTAAGGAATCTCAAACTTAAACTTCATTCCTTTGAATCACACAAAGATGAAATATTCCAGGTATGTTTAGGCACATTTCTGATGTTATTGTCAATGAGTTACATTGTGTGTTTCATCCTTCGGTAGACTTAAAAATAGTGAGGGTGACAACATTTGTGTTGACTCTTCAGGGATTGTAGTAGTTAATGTTGTGGTCTCAAGATTTTGTAAAAGCAAGTTTGAACACACTACTGATCTGATTGTTTTTTGTTGTGTTCTTGGGCAAAATGTGCAGCTTTCCAGCTCAAAGGGTGATTGAAGCAGTTCTCAAAACTTATACTTCAGCTCCATGTTTCAGTAGTGGTAATGATATATTCAGGAATTATATAAATTATACAAACTCTCTCCATGAGCAGTTTGTGCTCTAAGAGGAATGTCGGATCAAAACTATTTTTTAAATTAAAAAATGCAAACATTTTTTTTGTCCATCGCAGGTTCAGTGGTCTCCACACAACGAGACAATCCTAGCTTCTAGTGGTACAGACAGAAGACTGCATGTGTGGGACTTAAGGTAGCTTTGTTACTCTAATTTAGGTCTCATAGTGATTAAATAGAAAAGTGAAGAAATAGATTATTTTGTCACTACATACAGGAAATTCAACTTGAGTAGAAAACAGAGAATTTTTAATTCACCAGACACTGGAAAAGACCCTAAAGCTGGGACAACAATGGGAAATGCATGCATAACACTGAGAACGCAACACACGCTAATCACCTGGTCACCTGGTCACCTCACCTTCACACAGTTTTTTAGTGTAGATGTGAATGATAAATAAATTTTTTGTTTGTTAGCAAAATTGGCGAGGAGCAGTCATCAGAGGATGCTGAAGATGGACCTCCAGAACTTCTGGTACACAGTGCTTTGTTTGTTGCTGTTATGGCCGTAGTTAATAACATGCGAGTTCACCGAGGCATTTGCCTTGGTAAAAGTTTTTACCAAGTTATTTAGTTATTCCAGGATCCTGTAAGGGGCTATGCAATGAAAAAAAAAAATGAACCAAATATGAAAAATGTTTTGAAAACTGATTTTGCCTTGTTGAGAATTTTTGTCTGACTATATACAGTGTAAGTTGCCATGTGGCACTAATGTTTCTAGGATGATGGATTTTTGTCCTTCCTAAATGTGTAGGGTATTTGTTTATTCTGATTTCTTAAATGTCTTTCTTTAATATTGTTTCAGTTCATTCATGGTGGCCACACAGCCAAAATTTCAGACTTCTCATGGAATCCAAATGAACCATGGGTACTCTGCAGTGTCTCCGAGGACAACATAATGCAAGTGTGGCAAATGGTAAGTGGCAATAAATCACGAGAAACAAAAACCAAACGTACATTAGCTATTTTCTTAGCCACCATTTGGGATATGTTGTAAATGGTAAATACTGATCCCTTGAAAATTTCACATTTTCGCGCTTGTTCACTAATGATATAAATTTCCTTTTTCTTCAACTTTCCTTGTCAAAGTTCTCTTTAAAAGTAGAGATATCACTTGTTCCCTGAAATTAATCACAAAAATATCCCCTGTGCCCTTGAAATAACTGATCATGTTCCCTCCTTCTCCAAAACCTCTAGGAGTGCCCTTGTTATTTACATGACTTTGTGTTGAGGACACTTTGGGTACTTTGACAGCAGCATGTTCTCAGATTTCGTCACCAATGGCAACTTTTTGTCACTCTCCTGGTTTAAAGTATTGTTACATCTGTTGTCAGTGGTACTTTTCAGCGGCATCCCTAGAGTTGAGAACGAACTCGTGTTCTTCTTAATTCATTTAAACAGCATTCCATGTGTACAGTTGACTTTTGAATCACGTCAAGTCATCTGACTGGGCGGAATGCAAAAGAAAAATGGCAGGGTATTACCTTGGTTTAAAACTCACTAGGTACTAGCGTTGTTTTCTCACCACGTTCTGTCAGACACGAACGCCCTTCCATCAGGGATGCCTGGTGAAGTGATGGCCATCATAGCATAGCTTTGTTCCTGCATTTCATCTTGATTGTATTTTTTTCCCATTCTTTCCATTATTTTAGGCTGAAAACATTTATAATGACGAAGAACTTGACACTCCAGCATCAGAGCTAGAATCAGGGGCATCGTGAAACTCCTCGTTTTTCAGGCTGGTTAATTAATATATTGTCCTGGGAGAGTCTATGAGTTTTGAACTCTGATCACAGACCTTTGTTTCATGAACATGCATCTAGCCGTGCCGTTTCTTTCATCCCGGGTTTTCAACAGTTCTCTGTAAATGTCGGTACCGCTGGTAATGTTGTAGCTACAGCTAAGGTTGTTCATTGTTGGTCACACATTGTTGTGTTCAGATTTTCGGTGTAAACTCCTTCTTCGATAACTCATGTACATGTACTTCGAAATTCAGCAACAAAGTATTTATCTGCAAGCATTTTTCTTTTTCCTCCCTGAATTTTCACCTGAGGTGTAAAAAATGCTAAGGGAGAAAAAAAGGGCCGCAAGGCCTCTGTAGTATTCTTTGTTCTCAGGCGGCAAGAAGAAAATGAGAATGGTCTGTCTACAATAGGATTCTGTTTACTGCCCTGTTTCAATTTGTTCTCTGTGGTATGGAGAATTTTGTTTTGAATCAGTACCTTCACTGTCACTATTCCTTTTGTAAGACGTTTTCCAAGTAAACAGATATTGTACAGAAGTTGTTTTCATTATTAGGTTTAACTCTTAACCAAAGGTAGTGGTTATAGAAATGGTGGTTATCATAGCAGACCTGTTAATATTTTTATGAAAAGAGTGTAGGCATACTTTAAGGTGACGGTCACTCGGCCAGAACACTGTACGATAGTTTGACTTTTAAGTAGTATGCAATTACAGCTGCAATAAAAAAAGCTTTGTAATTATATGTGTAAGAGTGATCTTTTTAGTAAAGGACAGGTGTTTTATACCGTAAACTACCAAAAGCAACGACCCTCGCTTCTTTCGGAATTAGCAGCATTTGGGGCTGGCTTCTTTCAGGGACTCGTTACTTTCGGGGAGCAGAAAACCTTATATAAGGTTGATGCGACTGTGTACTTCTTACGAAATAAAAGAGGGAAGTTCGTAAAAACAGCCCTTAAAACATGAGATGAAATTCTTCGTTCCAGTTTAAATTTATGTTGCTGTCACATGGGGTGTTCCTTGTGTCGAGACCGTATTGTTTTTCGGCAGCTGGTAGCTACTCGACTGCACCGTTAATTAGTCTGCTATATCAATATCTCGGTGCTCTGGTCAAGATTTCAATTTTAATTTAAAGGAACGCTCGCCTTCAGTTTAAATACGCCCCAGTTGAAAATGACACTTCAATTTAATGTGAAGAAAAGTTCCTGTGAGTACGTTCTTGTTCGCTTGACTATGAAAGTTTCACAGTTTTTGTTATAAAATGGCGCAACATAAACGGACGAAGCACGAAGTGACATTTCATAATACTTTGTGGCATAAGCAATTCCTTCCCTTGTTGCAGAGTGCCTTTATTATAATTACCAAATGTAGTACCATATGTAACTTTCACTACTTTTGAACTTTGGAACCTTGTTCCTGCTATTTTCGAGGGTCACTAGTTTTGGAAGTTTACGGTAGTTTCCATTGAAAACGTTAGGGAAGCGTCAGTGTAACGGAGCACTGATTTTTCAACTTACTGGGTAAATGTCATTCACTTCAACTCCTGTTTTAAAAGGTCATGAACAAGATTAAGTCATGAAACAGGCAGGGGCAAAACTCTTACCGGATCAACTCGGATCGCCGATTTTGTTTTCTTTTATCGCTGAGTCGATTTGATTCGGTCCGAGTTTTGTACTTGTCCGTTACAGACCATTGAAAGCTCGGAAAATCCAAACGGTGGTCGTTAGGGCCATTAACGAAGTCACTAGTCGCTTAAAAAGGGTTTTCAGGAGAGAGAGAACTGAGGTTTTGCTCAGGACGCGATAACGAACGTCATATCAGTAGTCGTGATATTCGGGGTTCCATTGTGTAAACGAACATCAGTCAGAATAACTGCAATGACTCCATTATTAGAAAGATCTTTTTAACAGTCGGCAGATCTTCATCCCTATGGTAACAGTACTTTCTTCTCTAATGCTATTTTTCCGATTTTGATCCTACTCTAGCTCTTTATATTGACAGAAGCTAAGATCAAACACATTCAATGTAAACGTAATGCGACGAAAATATCCAGTATTGGCAACATAATATTCAGCGCTCCAAGAAACTAGAATTCTTAGGAACGGGTTTAACAGGAAAATAAAAAAATCATGTACCGAATCACCCTAAATCTCAAATAAAAGCGATATACCAAAGAATTAAATGAATTCTCCTGAATATTTTATTAATATTCAGTTGACGGAGTTCATTTTGTCAGTCTTAGATTATTGACGCAACAATCTATTATCAAAATCAGTTTGATGTACCTTGATTTGTATCGATCCTGTCTACAACATTGCCATTTAATTGTTTAGTGTTGCAATACTGGAAGATCTTATGGCCATGCAAAACATAGCTAGGTTTTCAACTTGTCGTGGGATCTTACCTAACCATTTTTATAAGGGTGCGTTTCAGTTTTTTTGTGATGATCTGAATCAGGACAAATGATCCAAGATCACTCGGATCATGCTGCATCTGAGGCCCCGTCCACATAACGGCGGATGGATTTTAATACCGAGCTTAATTTCTACGGTTAGGCCAACCATCCACACTAATCAGAGCTTTCGAAAACGCTCTTCAAACTGGAGAAATTTGAAAACGCCGGCTTTGTATTTTAGTGTGGACGGAAAGCATTTTGAAAACGGAGGTTTTAGAAAACGAAGACATCTCGACAATCAAGTGATTTCCCTGCCAGAGATTTCCTCAATACACAAATCCAAAATGACCGACGATTGTTGCGTTTTTAAATTCCTCCGGCGTAGTGGGGGACGGAATCTTGGCATTTTTTAATTTTGCGTTTTCAGAGTGAAAACTCCGTGTTCAAATTCCTCCGGCTTAGTGTGGACTGTGGACACAGCCTAAAAATACCAATGAATCCTTGCCCAGATGTCATTCATCGGTTCCTCGGATGCACCACGACCCGAGTGATCAAGTTGAATGATTGATCCTGTTCCGGAACATCCTAAAGGAACACACCCATAATCTATGTTTTTACGCTTACTCAAGCAACTTGTTTTACAACTGAAAATATGATGTAACGATCGTAAATACCAAAGGAAAGCCAAAACTGGGTAGGTTTCCTCCGCTAACACATGGCTTATCCCTTTCATCCACAAAGGTGATTCTGTTTTCTATCCCGGTCATGATCGGAGATTTTGCCTTGAAATAGTCCATCATCACCTGATCATCAGTTATGTTGCCAACTTGATGAGAGAGTTTCTTCTCTGCGATAACACTCAGCCCCGCTCCACCCCCGGCCATGTAGGACGATAGAATTACTTTGTACACAGTGGACTGGTCAAGAGCTTGGTACGAAGGGTACTTGCAGGAAGCACAACGAACCTGAATTGCGACCACTCTGCTACCAGACGGCTTTTTCATGTCGTACTGTATTTGTAGTCCTGCAAGGCAAGGCGAAAGCTGTTTTCAAGGCTGCCATTTATACCTAAATCTTCATTGGGTTGAGATTTAATATTACCGCTTTACGTTTTACTGAGGAATCGTGTTGGGTACATACAGAAGCTACACGAGGTCTATTTCTGTTGCCTCAATTTTACACCCAGGGGATATTTTCTCCTACTCATACGGACTGTATGCCCCTGTACCTTAGGAGAGAAGTGTCTACGAGTTTTTCATCCACAACATGTTCCTGTTGGCTTTGGGCTAAGTTGAGTTAAACTACCTGAGCTTTCAGCGAAAAATATGTGGCAAAGATTAGAGCTATGGGCATGTGTACAGCCAGCTAGTATGATTCAAATATCTGATGCTTCTACGTTCTGTACAATGCAATGGACTCCAATTGTTCAACGACACCGATATTTCTGGAATAGGATGTCTCATTGGAAAATGGGTTGCCTCCTATTACATAAACTCTGTCAAATTATAATGGTTAAGTCTGCGCGCGTTCGAGCTTAGGACCCCATCAGGCCGACGCATATTGCCCGCGGTTGCGACTAGGAGTATTTCTATCACCGCTTTTGGATCATGTATGCTAATCCATCGTAAAGTAACCCTCAGCATTCCATGATCATGAGAAAAAAACACTCACTCTGTTTTCCCCATAGCACCAGTAAAGTTATATCCCCAAACTAAAAAAAATTAATACTTGTCACCTCTTATCAACATTTTCAATGCTGTGACTATTTTGCAATTAGATAGCATTGTGGTGGACGCTCAGGCTACTAAGAACAAACTGAAAATTTTAAAAAGTACCTGAGACTTGCAGAAATGACGCACTGGGGTTGCTTTCGTCGTACAGTGAAGCCACCTGTTCAAAAACCTGCACAAGATCCTTGCCTTTAAGTTCCACGATGTCCACCGTGTTTCTGTAGGGAAAACTGTTCGCTATATGACCATACGTGACATTATCTGTGTAATAGAAGCCACATGTGTTAGAAACAAAACGATATTGGGCATTTGAACATTGTCAGTAGAACTGAAATGTTTAGAGAACTTTACAGCTTGTGAATCTTGAAAAGTTCAGCCTAAAGTATTCCAGTCCGTCTTTCGTATTCCATCCTTCCAATACATGCCAACCTTTTGGCCTAATTATCTTCCTGCGACTAGTCCGCCCTGCAACTAGTCCCCGGAAGAGTTTACACGAAGGGACTGGTCGCAGGGACTTGTCCCACGAACAGTTCACACGAAACGTTTTGAGGAACAAGTCGCAGGGACTTGTNTTAATTAATATATTGTCCTGGGAGAGTCTATGAGTTTTGAACTCTGATCACAGACCTTTGTTTCATGAACATGCATCTAGCCGTGCCGTTTCTTTCATCCCGGGTTTTCAACAGTTCTCTGTAAATGTCGGTACCGCTGGTAATGTTGTAGCTACAGCTAAGGTTGTTCATTGTTGGTCACACATTGTTGTGTTCAGATTTTCGGTGTAAACTCCTTCTTCGATAACTCATGTACATGTACTTCGAAATTCAGCAACAAAGTATTTATCTGCAAGCATTTTTCTTTTTCCTCCCTGAATTTTCACCTGAGGTGTAAAAAATGCTAAGGGAGAAAAAAAGGGCCGCAAGGCCTCTGTAGTATTCTTTGTTCTCAGGCGGCAAGAAGAAAATGAGAATGGTCTGTCTACAATAGGATTCTGTTTACTGCCCTGTTTCAATTTGTTCTCTGTGGTATGGAGAATTTTGTTTTGAATCAGTACCTTCACTGTCACTATTCCTTTTGTAAGACGTTTTCCAAGTAAACAGATATTGTACAGAAGTTGTTTTCATTATTAGGTTTAACTCTTAACCAAAGGTAGTGGTTATAGAAATGGTGGTTATCATAGCAGACCTGTTAATATTTTTATGAAAAGAGTGTAGGCATACTTTAAGGTGACGGTCACTCGGCCAGAACACTGTACGATAGTTTGACTTTTAAGTAGTATGCAATTACAGCTGCAATAAAAAAAGCTTTGTAATTATATGTGTAAGAGTGATCTTTTTAGTAAAGGACAGGTGTTTTATACCGTAAACTACCAAAAGCAACGACCCTCGCTTCTTTCGGAATTAGCAGCATTTGGGGCTGGCTTCTTTCAGGGACTCGTTACTTTCGGGGAGCAGAAAACCTTATATAAGGTTGATGCGACTGTGTACTTCTTACGAAATAAAAGAGGGAAGTTCGTAAAAACAGCCCTTAAAACATGAGATGAAATTCTTCGTTCCAGTTTAAATTTATGTTGCTGTCACATGGGGTGTTCCTTGTGTCGAGACCGTATTGTTTTTCGGCAGCTGGTAGCTACTCGACTGCACCGTTAATTAGTCTGCTATATCAATATCTCGGTGCTCTGGTCAAGATTTCAATTTTAATTTAAAGGAACGCTCGCCTTCAGTTTAAATACGCCCCAGTTGAAAATGACACTTCAATTTAATGTGAAGAAAAGTTCCTGTGAGTACGTTCTTGTTCGCTTGACTATGAAAGTTTCACAGTTTTTGTTATAAAATGGCGCAACATAAACGGACGAAGCACGAAGTGACATTTCATAATACTTTGTGGCATAAGCAATTCCTTCCCTTGTTGCAGAGTGCCTTTATTATAATTACCAAATGTAGTACCATATGTAACTTTCACTACTTTTGAACTTTGGAACCTTGTTCCTGCTATTTTCGAGGGTCACTAGTTTTGGAAGTTTACGGTAGTTTCCATTGAAAACGTTAGGGAAGCGTCAGTGTAACGGAGCACTGATTTTTCAACTTACTGGGTAAATGTCATTCACTTCAACTCCTGTTTTAAAAGGTCATGAACAAGATTAAGTCATGAAACAGGCAGGGGCAAAACTCTTACCGGATCAACTCGGATCGCCGATTTTGTTTTCTTTTATCGCTGAGTCGATTTGATTCGGTCCGAGTTTTGTACTTGTCCGTTACAGACCATTGAAAGCTCGGAAAATCCAAACGGTGGTCGTTAGGGCCATTAACGAAGTCACTAGTCGCTTAAAAAGGGTTTTCAGGAGAGAGAGAACTGAGGTTTTGCTCAGGACGCGATAACGAACGTCATATCAGTAGTCGTGATATTCGGGGTTCCATTGTGTAAACGAACATCAGTCAGAATAACTGCAATGACTCCATTATTAGAAAGATCTTTTTAACAGTCGGCAGATCTTCATCCCTATGGTAACAATACTTTCTTCTCTAATGCTATTTTTCCGATTTTGATCCTACTCTAGCTCTTTATATTGACAGAAGCTAAGATCAAACACATTCAATGTAAACGTAATGCGACGAAAATATCCAGTATTGGCAACATAATATTCAGCGCTCCAAGAAACTAGAATTCTTAGGAACGGGTTTAACAGGAAAATAAAAAAATCATGTACCGAATCACCCTAAATCTCAAATAAAAGCGATATACCAAAGAATTAAATGAATTCTCCTGAATATTTTATTAATATTCAGTTGACGGAGTTCATTTTGTCAGTCTTAGATTATTGACGCAACAATCTATTATCAAAATCAGTTTGATGTACCTTGATTTGTATCGATCCTGTCTACAACATTGCCATTTAATTGTTTAGTGTTGCAATACTGGAAGATCTTATGGCCATGCAAAACATAGCTAGGTTTTCAACTTGTCGTGGGATCTTACCTAACCATTTTTATAAGGGTGCGTTTCAGTTTTTTTGTGATGATCTGAATCAGGACAAATGATCCAAGATCACTCGGATCATGCTGCATCTGAGGCCCCGTCCACATAACGGCGGATGGATTTTAATACCGAGCTTAATTTCTACGGTTAGGCCAACCATCCACACTAATCAGAGCTTTCGAAAACGCTCTTCAAACTGGAGAAATTTGAAAACGCCGGCTTTGTATTTTAGTGTGGACGGAAAGCATTTTGAAAACGGAGATTTTAGAAAACGAAGACATCTCGACAATCAAGTGATTTCCCTGCCAGAGATTTCCTCAATACACAAATCCAAAATGACCGACGATTGTTGCGTTTTTAAATTCCTCCGGCGTAGTGGGGGACGGAATCTTGGCATTTTTTAATTTTGCGTTTTCAGAGTGAAAACTCCGTGTTCAAATTCCTCCGGCTTAGTGTGGACTGTGGACACAGCCTAAAAATACCAATGAATCCTTGCCCAGATGTCATTCATCGGTTCCTCGGATGCACCACGACCCGAGTGATCAAGTTGAATGATTGATCCTGTTCCGGAACATCCTAAAGGAACACACCCATAATCTATGTTTTTACGCTTACTCAAGCAACTTGTTTTACAACTGAAAATATGATGTAACGATCGTAAATACCAAAGGAAAGCCAAAACTGGGTAGGTTTCCTCCGCTAACACATGGCTTATCCCTTTCATCCACAAAGGTGATTCTGTTTTCTATCCCGGTCATGATCGGAGATTTTGCCTTGAAATAGTCCATCATCACCTGATCATCAGTTATGTTGCCAACTTGATGAGAGAGTTTCTTCTCTGCGATAACACTCAGCCCCGCTCCACCCCCGGCCATGTAGGACGATAGAATTACTTTGTACACAGTGGACTGGTCAAGAGCTTGGTACGAAGGGTACTTGCAGGAAGCACAACGAACCTGAATTGCGACCACTCTGCTACCAGACGGCTTTTTCATGTCGTACTGTATTTGTAGTCCTGCAAGGCAAGGCGAAAGCTGTTTTCAAGGCTGCCATTTATACCTAAATCTTCATTGGGTTGAGATTTAATATTACCGCTTTACGTTTTACTGAGGAATCGTGTTGGGTACATACAGAAGCTACACGAGGTCTATTTCTGTTGCCTCAATTTTACACCCAGGGGATATTTTCTCCTACTCATACGGACTGTATGCCCCTGTACCTTAGGAGAGAAGTGTCTACGAGTTTTTCATCCACAACATGTTCCTGTTGGCTTTGGGCTAAGTTGAGTTAAACTACCTGAGCTTTCAGCGAAAAATATGTGGCAAAGATTAGAGCTATGGGCATGTGTACAGCCAGCTAGTATGATTCAAATATCTGATGCTTCTACGTTCTGTACAATGCAATGGACTCCAATTGTTCAACGACACCGATATTTCTGGAATAGGATGTCTCATTGGAAAATGGGTTGCCTCCTATTACATAAACTCTGTCAAATTATAATGGTTAAGTCTGCGCGCGTTCGAGCTTAGGACCCCATCAGGCCGACGCATATTGCCCGCGGTTGCGACTAGGAGTATTTCTATCACCGCTTTTGGATCATGTATGCTAATCCATCGTAAAGTAACCCTCAGCATTCCATGATCATGAGAAAAAAACACTCACTCTGTTTTCCCCATAGCACCAGTAAAGTTATATCCCCAAACTAAAAAAAATTAATACTTGTCACCTCTTATCAACATTTTCAATGCTGTGACTATTTTGCAATTAGATAGCATTGTGGTGGACGCTCAGGCTACTAAGAACAAACTGAAAATTTTAAAAAGTACCTGAGACTTGCAGAAATGACGCACTGGGGTTGCTTTCGTCGTACAGTGAAGCCACCTGTTCAAAAACCTGCACAAGATCCTTGCCTTTAAGTTCCACGATGTCCACCGTGTTTCTGTAGGGAAAACTGTTCGCTATATGACCATACGTGACATTATCTGTGTAATAGAAGCCACATGTGTTAGAAACAAAACGATATTGGGCATTTGAACATTGTCAGTAGAACTGAAATGTTTAGAGAACTTTACAGCTTGTGAATCTTGAAAAGTTCAGCCTAAAGTATTCCAGTCCGTCTTTCGTATTCCATCCTTCCAATACATGCCAACCTTTTGGCCTAATTATCTTCCTGCGACTAGTCCGCCCTGCAACTAGTCCCCGGAAGAGTTTACACGAAGGGACTGGTCGCAGGGACTTGTCCCACGAACAGTTCACACGAAACGTTTTGAGGAACAAGTCGCAGGGACTTGTCCCAAAAATTCAAACCAGTTCAGTTTGAATTTGTGGGACTAGTCGCAGGGACCAAATTTAGTCCCTGCGACTAGATTTTGTGGCAAAAATGGCCAGTTCACACGATGGGACTTGTCCCCGTGACTTGTTGCAGGAACTAGTCCCCTCGACTAGTCCCCTCGTGTATGCCGACCTTTATGGACTGCGAATTCTAGTTAAGACACTGCTTGATATCCGTAACGGCTTAATATAATTTGTGCTATTTTCTCAGCGATATGTCAGTAAGGCCCGGAGGGTGCAGTTAAACTATCATTTTCACAGGTGATGGTTCAGTTTAATTAGTGTTTTGTAGGCGTAAATTTACTTTAGCTTTGTTTATTGTTTCCCAAATTTTTGTCCAAAATGTGTCCAAAATGAGATTAAAAGTGTCCGAAAATTAAACGTCCCAAACAAAACTTCCGAAGTTTTAACGTCCGAAATGTTTTTGCAAGTAATAGATACTCGACACCTCTCTGTAACAATTTGCCCCAGGGGTAAATCTTGGCTATTTAACTTACAGCACACAGTACCTTTAGCGTTGACGAAGATTGATGAAGTTATGCTTCCACTGTTCTGAATCGCAACACTAGCCGTCGTCCATTGTGATTCACTCGCAAATTGTTTAGCGTAGTGAAACACAAATGCGTCTGTGACAACATTTCCTAAGTTGCATTCTTTGAGCATACACGCTGGTTTTCTTGCATCAAGGAAGACGTAGCTGCTACCCACTTTGACCTAAATGATAAAAATTGTCTGCTCCATTTCTTCGCCTTTATAACAAGACACTTTATGTTGTTATAGTATCTTATGATGCTAGTTTCCTAGTTTCCAACAAGTCCATTACACTATCCCGCTTTTCTGCTTTAAGTCCTGCAGTGGCCTCAGTCGTTCGAAGGCTGGAAAACGGTATCAGATAAGTCCAGTGGATAAGTGTTAACAAAGCAAACCAAGTTCTTCGCTGGATAGTGATTTATTCGGTGGATGGAGTTACCTACCTTTCGAACAACCTGGGCCTGATTGCTAAATAATCTCTGCATAATTTGCGAATGCACGCTCTCTTTCGCCTATCATTTCACACGAGTGAAATAACAGCTCAGAGACTAGCCTGTCCTAGGGCAATCTCGTTCCCAGAGTCTTGGTTCCCCTTGACCAGCGGTCGGAAAACGAGAGCTCTGCATTTCAGGCATGCGCCATAGATGCAAACTGTGTAGTGAAACCGGATGGGCAGCATTCGGTTATTTCAAAATGGTTGCTCCCAGAGCTCTCGCTTTCCGACCGCTGGTCAAGGGGAACAAGGACTCTGGGAACGAGATTGGTTCCAGAGGTATGGTCAGATGTGGAGAGCCGGCGCGAAGAACCAGTGGAAAAAAGGCGAGGGGTATGGGGCACTTTCTTTACCAGAACCCCTCGTTTTCAAGCTCGCCTCGTTCCTCTCGCCTCCACAAATCCAGAGCTAGAGCCTGGAACATGACACTCAGAAATCAGTCTGTGTCCGCAAGCTGAGTGGATCAGGATGTAATCTTTGCACTTTTTGGATTTTTGACAGTCATTGGCAGACAGTTTTCATGACTACCGCTAAAAGCAAACTTTATAACCAGCTTCAGAGACAAAGAAATTAAGCACAGTGAGTAAAAGGCCGCGCGGGCTCTGGAGACGAGAGAAGTGAAGAATTTGTCTCTTACCTCCGACACTTTGGATACCTCACTTTTCATTTGTTGCACCTGCTGGAGGATTTTTGGATCTTTTTTCACTGAGTTGTCCAGTAATATAGGATTTCCACTCCACTTGATCACTTCACCATCAGCATCAAAATCGACCTTCAGTTTTCCGAGGTATTTACCATAAGCAAAGTCCTGAACAACTAACACCCTGGCATCTGGGTTACTGTCCGGTATGATAACCAAGGGATACGGACCGTACGGCTTTTCAGTGGACGGGGGTGCGCCTAGAATGATACGAAGGGAAAATAAATTTAGGCAATGCTTCCTTGCTGGAATATCGCAGTTTTCATTTGCCTGTGGCGTAAAACCGAAACTTACGAAATTGCAATGGTCGACCACAGGAAATGTAAACAGACAAACAAACAAATGATGAGCCGTAGCCCACGCCAAGGGCGGGAAAAAAGCGCGGGGAAAAAAGCGCGGGGAAAAAAGCGCGGGAACTGAAACGCATGAGATCAAATCGAGTTTGGGATTGGTTATGTATCTGGACCATCTGATTAGCAGAGTAAGTAGCGCGATTTTTTCCGACCAATTACAGCGCATACTAGGAGCAAAATCCAGGGTTCGCACTCTTTTTCAGAAAAAGATTTCCAGGACTAATCATACAAATTACAATTTCCTCGATTGTGATTGGTTTAAAAAACTCCTATTTTCCACTAATTTACTTGCCAAGTTGTTTAACGGACAGTTTGTTATCGGACAGTTCAATAAGCCAATCATATTCAAAGTTGTAGTTTAAATCAACCAATTACATTCAAAGTTGTAGTTACGTGCCTGTGTGCGTGCGTGCGTGCGTGCGCTTTTGTGTTTTTGGCACCTAATTGCTGGTAGGAGGCGCAGTTGCCTTAGAATGTTTACATCTCTTTTGTAGGTCTTTTAATGCAAATTTTCCCTTTCTTTCATAACTTTGCTATTCTTCTTTTCTCGGAAATTGTAATTTTTATGATTAATTGGTAATAAGCCTTCGTGTCGTCCAATTCGGTCTGTAATCATACTCGTGATAAACAAATCGGACTCCCGCTGCGCGGTCGTCCGATTTTGTTATCACTCTTATGATAACCGACCGAATTGGACTCCACTCAGTCCTATTTATTTAAAAGCACGCAGGTTCCTTGCACTGCCCCATTACCTGTGTAAAGGAAGGTGTTTGTGTGCCCTCCCACCACAATATCCACACCGTCGACTTCTTTGGCGATTTTCTTGTCTACGTCTATACCAGCGTGGCCAACGGCAATAATCTTATTGATGTCGAGCTTATTGAGTTCATTCACAGCACTTCTAACAGAATCTACCTCGGGTAGGAACTTCACGTTTGGGCCTGGCCCAGGTTTTGACAGCCTTGAATTAAAAAACAAAGAAGGCACGAGCTGTGGAACATACAAGATGTAGGTGTTGTCATTTGGCGCCCTTTCCTCATAGTTCCACTCGCTAAACGCGCAAGAACAAATGCCTCAACTTAACTGTACTCTTGTAGCCTTCGCGTTTCCCATAAAGACTAAAAACACTTTCGGGAAGAAATATGTTGGACAATAAATCTCTTATTAAACATTTTTGATATCCTATTCATTTTCTCCGTTAGTAGTTTGACTCGCACTACTGGCGCCTGAAAATACTGCAAGTCTCGTAACTATATCCATGGGTTTTTGAAAATCTGTGAGTTCAAGATGGCTGGATCTAAGCCAAGGTTTTTTTATGTGTTTTTATGGACCGAGACGCAGTTGAGGTTCATAAACACAAAAAAAGAACGAGGCTAATATCCAGCCAACTTTCCCAAACGAGCTTGGGAAAACAACTTTCCTTGCGGAAAACAGCGAGTCATTCCGAGCACGCAAGATATACCACACCTTGCCAGTTCGGGCGCAGGATTTGTTTATGTCTAATAAAAAGTCTTGTCAAGTCTGGAAAGATAAATAAGATGCGGAATAAAAACTTACATTGGAGTGCTTTGCAGTACATATCCAACCACGCCAATTTTCTCACCCCCGACGTCAAAAATCTTCGACTTGGTAAACAAGGGCGGTGACGGCCATGCTGGTTCTTTGCTAACATCCAGATTTGAAACCACTACAGAAAAATTTACCCGACCAAGGAAGGAAACCAGGTTGTCGACGCCATCATCAAATTCGTGATTTCCAAGGGCCTGATTAAACATGGAAAAATGATAAGTGAAACGGCGAAGTGAAACGAATTAGCATTAAATTTAGTCAGGTAGTAAATAGTTGCATGTCTGGAGTTCTCGTCCAATGATGTTTTATATCACAGTTATTTTCTGATCATGAACGCTTTTGTGTAACGATAAACGTATGACCTTGCATGTTGATAGTATAATTCTTGACCTGCCACAAGTAATGGAGAAGAGTTGTCAGTGCTGACCGAGCTAAATGAAATGGACCAAAACGGAAACAAAAATTGGCCATCATTTCTGTCCTAGTATATGTCCCTAGAAGGCGTGTCAAACATCTCGAAAGGCCGATTCAAAGTGTTTACGTGGAAAAAAAAGTAAAAAAAAAAAAAGCAAAAAAAAAAAAGCAAACAAACAAAAACAAGGGAGTTGCCCTCCATCCGGGGTGACCCCGCGAGGGCCTCCAAGCCAATTGTGTGACTTTTCATGCAAACGCGTTCCTGCAATAGCCGTTTTCCAGGATATTTCACGCACAACGGAGACTGAAAAAAATAAGCCCATAAATTCTGAACCATTCTGGTAACTAAGGCTTCTCCCAGCTTTCAAAGTCATCAGTTGAAACAACCTCGCTTTTGCCATAATTCTGCCCAATATAATCTCCAGTGAGCACGAATTATTCTGGGTTAAGAAATGTCTGAGTCTTTTCCGTAGCGGGGGGTGGGGGGTAGGGGGGGGTGGGCACGATATGGACTGTGAACTGCCCAATAGCGGGCTGCAGGGACTTGGGTACTGTACTATAGAACGGCAGATGGGCAGATGCAGGGATCTCATGGAGCGCGAGGGTTCAATATTCCTGCAATACTGCCTTTTATTTAGCACCGTACACCAATAGTAATATTGGTATTAAAAACCGCCGGCGTCTATCATCATCATCATCATCTTTATTTAAAACACGGTAAATACATCAGGATTAACAATTTAATATAAAAGCTACAACCGTTATTACGAAAGACAAATGTCAAAAATGAACATTATTAAAAAGTCCACTGCATTGAGAAGGCTGGCCTCAACCTCAATCTGATTTTTTTTGTTTTAGTCCCCTTAATTTATCGGAGTTGGCCTATTGTGTGATGGCTTGTTCATGTGCACCAAGGGATTGTAAAATTTAAATAAGTCGTGAATACAGTATTTTAAGATAATCCAGGAGATCAGTTTTCCCTACGTACTGCCCCGATTGAAAGCACTTATGCGTTTCCACTAAATAGGAAATACGTTAATAAGTTAATTAGCGTCCAAAATAAAATAAACTGTCTTAAATGAATTAAAATAAAACCAGAACGTTACTGAGCCGTTGAAAGCGCCAAATACACGTCAATCGTTTGATTTCTTTGAACGGCTTTCGTTATTAGAGCTGCAAATCATGAAATAACTTGAAAAGTTTAATGTCGAGTGCGACAAAAGCTAGCGAGAGACATCACTTGAGGAACAGCTCTTAATTCAACTTGCACCCCACGCCGATTCAATACCTTATAACTTATTCAGCACATTTGGCTATTTGGCAGGTGGATTTGAGTTGAAACAATGAAAAGTGCACGACAGCTGCGAGGAATGTCCAGCAACAATAAATTCATAAAGCTGAATTACAGCAATGCCGTTTAGTGCGTCCGGAGTCTATGTTATGTGGTGAAGGAGTTTATTCCACTAAGGACATTCACACATTAAAGGAACAACGGAGGTAACGGTTTTTAATTTGAATAATGGCCATTGTTATTTCATTACATTTTTAACTTTGGGTAAAAATTTCACCCTCGCGAAACGCTCTGTTACCAAGTTACGGTCAATTAGCTTATATATTTCAAGGCCGAGGAACTGATATCAAAGTAGGAGGTAAATCGGCGATAATTCTTGTATTAGAGGTTCATATATAAATGCACCTTTCATCAAAGTGGGCCTGCATGTCAGTGAAAATATCTGTCCAGCAAAAATTAGGATGCAATGATATAATTCCCGAGGCACGAATAATGAAATACGTTTGACATATACTGATCAAATCCAGTTATAAACATCAACTGTCTTTATTCCTTCCTCGATCTTTCCTTTGCAGATCTAGGGTTTAGGCCCTTAGTTCCGTTAAATCCTCGAGTAAAGAGCGAAACGCCTTATTTTAATTAGCTCCTCGCTGCTTGCGCTTGCAGTAATTCCGCGCGGGTTTCTTTCGTAAGAAGAGGACTACAGTGAAGAGTAGGGTGCGATGCTTAGTTAGTTTTAGTTTATCGGTAGTTTCAGGTTGCTTGCGAGCACTTTGCCTTAGCAGATTGTCGGCAAACATTTGTACTCATGGTTGAGGTGAGATCCAGTACAATATCGTGCTAAAAACGTCCACCTGATGTCTTTGGTCATGGCTCAAACGGCTACAAGCCTAAGTAGACCTATATTGCCTTTCTTCTCTTATTTTTGATAATATACTCCGTGGGGCTTGGATTTTAAGTCAAAATGGCTTTCCATAGCTGATAAGGTCGATCTTGAAATGCTTCAATATACTAATTTTAATATTCTAAAAAGATATATAGGCTCAGTTTTACGTACTTAATTTGTTTTCCAAATGGAGGCTGGAAGAAGAACGCTGTCGATTCATTGACCCCTAAGGCCCCATTAACGGGGCGGGGGGAGGGGGTGGGGAGGTATTCCATATTCGTTTAACGTAATTTCTTTTGCCTAAATATCCCGTATCCAGTATCCCGTATCCCGTTAATGGGATCATTTTAGCGTCCGCCATTTTAGCGTCCGGCAAAACTGAGTTTCATTGCAAAATTAGAGACTCTGTTCAGTCAAGAGCTAAAGCCTTCCCCAAATGTCAATGTCGGTAGTGAGAAGTTGTTGCTTTCTGTTACTCCTCGTGATGTCTAGACAGGTTAACGTACTGCTGAAGATCATTTTTCTCAGTCTAGGTTCCAGACCTTTAATATTTACGT